CTACAGTCGACGGCGGCCGCGGCGCGCCTCGACAATGTAACCACACTGCTATTTAAATACGAACATGTTTGTAAATATGTAAGAAGTTTCTCGAACGTCTTTTTATGTATATCGGAGCGGTGATATTTTATATAGAGATTATAGATAGAGGCGACCCGTGGAATTGTGAAACGTTTTAATCTTATCGATTTGAAATTTACCAAGATAATGTTAACTTTTTTTAAAATATTCATATTTTCTCCCTAGCTTTCTGTGTAACTAGGCTATCTAGCAGCACGTCGACGAACGTGAACGCGTTTCGAACTCGTGCGACCTCTGTTCGGTTGTCATTGTTTGTTTCATAGTAAATTGGGACCACTTTACCCGCTAGTGACGTTCGGCCGACGAACGCGCGCTCGTACCTTCTGAGTTAGCCCTCCCTGTGCACTCCGAGTCACGTGACACTCGAAGCCTGTATCTACTAGGACACTAGAGAACTCTTACAATTGTAGAACTAAAAACATTGTTTTGTTGAAAACTATTTACAATTAATAATAAAATTTGAAGCAAATTCCATAGCATTTTCTTTCGCCACTCGTTATGCATGATGGGGGCCGCCCAGTCTTAGCAGAACCGCTCTATTTCAGATGTTAACGGTAAGTTTAGGTCCGCGGGCAGGCGCGCCTGGCGGCGGCCGCACGCCCTCCCCGGGCGGCCGGCGGCCGGCGGGACCTAGGTACACTCGACTTACGTTAGTTAGAGCATGAGCGTGTCTTGCACGTCTACTCTTCGGTACATACTCACCCCGTCGAACGAATAGCGACCTTATTGTGTAACGATACGTCACAAAACACAACTGCCGACTGTACGTCGATAAGTCGCTTTATCTGACGAGTGCCTCGCAACAGAGGTTGAAACTGCGCGCGAGCGGCCATTTTGTGACCGGCTCCGGTTCGCAAAATGGCGGCCGTTTCTTAGATTGTAAGTACAGAGTATCTATTGAAGAAATGTTAAAATGTTTCTTTTTTTTTTGGTACAAATGTTTTTTTTTTAAACTTGTATTCTAATTATTTTCGCTTCGCATTTAAAGTGTGAAACTGCTTATGTTACAGCGTTATGCATGTAAACAGATGTCTGTGAGTATGCACAATTTGTATTTTGTAAGCGACGGTCTCTGATAATGTAAAGTGAGTTTTGTCATCTTTATATTGTCGGGACCTTTGATTTTTTCAATGTTATTTTAATATATCAAGTATTTCACACGTAGGAGAAATAATCATTATAATTTATCACAGTAACAATATCGTACACTAGTCTTTAAGTTGTCGTACAAAAATAAAGTGCTGATACAAAATGCCTCCACCAATACTAAAAAAAAAAATTAACCTTATCATTAAAATCTTTTTTTAAACGGCTTATATAATTATTTCATTTTTTTATCGTTGACTCGGTTGTGTAAGTACTTATTTAATAAGTTGATTTTGATTTTTTTTAAATAATTTATTTTCATGTAACGAGAGGTTTTACTTTTTAATTTTAAAACATTTTAACCGGCTATATAAACTACCAATTTAATATTAAAAAAAAGTTCATTTGAATAAAAATATTTATTTGAATTGTATCGATATTTCATTTGACCTTGAACACGTCCAATTTTTCCCAAAAAATGGTAAAAACCGCGAAGTAGCTCACATACCGGATTTTATATTTCGCATTCGTAGTCGCTTAAAACACGGTAAATACAGATTATTACAATTTTTTTATCTATATTAGTAATCGCTAGTGGATGCCCTCGACCCAGGTAGTGTGAATGCCCCCTAATCCTAGTCGACATTAGCCACTAACAAAGGACAATGCTTATAATATTCCCCACTTTACTAATAGTTAAATCACTGTAGAAGGTGTTCCAAAGCCAATTTTTTTCTTTGTAATTTTCGGTTTTTGATTTTGGAACACCCTTTTTTCGTACTGGCAATAAGGAGTCAAGCCATGCTACGTGAAGTGTCTCCAGATTGGGATTTTTTGTAGAAGAAAACGTATCTGTAAAGATTCTTTTATATCTTCAGTGTATCATTAAGTCATGAAAGCTATTATTCCGTTGTTTTATTCGGTTTTAATTGAATACCCAAAAAAAAGTGTGGATTTTTGCCAAAACTTCGAGATAAACGGCAATACCCATCTGGGGACACTGGTTTACGGGTAACACTTGCCGCGGCGGCCCACTGAAACCTCCGTGATGTTGTTTTACAGCAAAAGGCGGACATATTGGCCGGCCGTCGGATATTTGTCAATAATTATTTGGCGGAACACCGGAGGATCAGCGTGCAATCCGGCGGCAGCTCCCTGCCGGCACTCAGTCCCGTATCGCATCAGAGCGATGACTAAAACAACTCAACTAAAACGACTCAACAAAACTAAATTGACTCAACAAAACTAAAACGATTCAACAAAACTAAAATTACTCTACTAAACCAAATTATCGCTTAGTGACCAAAGTATAACCATTGAATTAAAATTAAATTTTTAAATAATCGTTCTAAATTTAAATTCATTTGATATTTGTATTGTTACCAATGTAGTGTTGCCATGTTATTCTTAAATCTACTAATAACTGCCAGTTAATCCCAAAACGCAAATTAGACGCAATTAAATTATAGAATTTTGAAACATATATGAGTACGAAATATAACGATATTGTTCACTAAAAGTATTAGTTTAAGATATTTAGGATTTTTCGAAAAATAAAATATTTAAATTAGAATTTAATCATAAATATGGTGCACTTCAAATTAAAAAAAAATATTTAGTGTTGTTAGCGGCATTCGCCGAATGGAACATAGTTCGATTGTTTTCCACTTTAAAAAAATATAATGATTTTCTGTAAATATTTGCGACGCCTTTCTTCTCTATAACGTTGACAGATTATATTTTAATACGCGTTATTAAGATTTATAAAAAGGAGTGTGCACAAAGTTTTGTACGACTCTGCTTTTATAAAAGTATACTATTAAGGGTTTTACGATATTTAAATTTGCTTGTTTTTTTTTCTATTTTCGTTGTTTACGCTATTGATGTGTTTACTTTTCAGTTATATTCAAAAGCCTTATTTTGTTGATGCTTTATAATCTGTGTAAACATATAATTTTCTATTTTAATGGCAACAATTTGTGTATTTGCACATATTTTTGCCTCTATATTGATTTTATTTTTGTACGTGCATGAAGTATGACATAGATAGTACAATATATTTGTCAGTACTTTCAGATTGCATGTATTTGATATAATCTATATCTGACTATATTTATATCTTATACACACACACACTCACACGAATTCCTTATTTTTTGTCTTCCAATATTAAGATCCTTTTTTGTTTTTATGTTTTTTTCCTCTTCGCCAGATTTCAAGCAAATTTAAGTATCTTTCAAAGGGGTTAAAGATACTTTGATATGTTTATGTATTACTATATATTTAAATATTTATGTGCGTATCGCTAAAATATCACCTATTGCACTTCGTAGTGAAATTTATAATCTAATAAAATTAGTATATTAAAAACATTTTAAACTTCGTGTCTTGTTGTAAACCGATAATAAGTTAGGTATAAAAAAATCTTCTAACATTAAAACTATGCTTTTAGCAGTCTCGTGAACGCCTTAATATAATATTAAAATATATCGGGGAAACCGCAATCGAAATATCCACACTTGTACTATACAAGTGTGATTATTTTATATCTCTAACGCTTTTCGTCTTAAACTTTAGTAATAAAGTATCTGTACTCCAAAAGTAACTTTCATTTCACCCGACTGCCTCGTTGCGGAGCTGCGTTATAAGGTAACTGGCCGTTGGGACTGTATGTGTTGTGCCGCGTGACGTGCGCCATCTTGGCCGCTTGCTTGCACCCGCACGCCGCCATCTTGTACGGCGCGTGCGTCACTGTCTTTTATTTCAACGACCATTTTTAATCGTTTAATTTCATAATGGTTTTGAAATAAAATTCATAATGTATATAGTAAATGTATAGATAAATAAAGTGTGTAACGCTTTCACAATTTAGATCGAATAAATGTTGTAGGAATGTATGTAGATGGTTAGTATCACATGCTTGTACATTAGTAAAATGTTAGAATCTGGTATGTGAGCAACTAAGCAAATCGTTATATGTGCTTAATAGAGCATGTACTGACGCTAGACACGAAAACACACACAGACAAACCGAAAGGAACGAAAGTTGATTCAATGTTGCTTAAATATTGTACACAAAACATTTATGTATCACAGATCAATGTTAAAATATGTTTTATTTCTTTTATGTTTTCATTTATGTTAAACGGATAAAGGAGCCCTGGATGGATACTGTAAAATAAAATAGTTCATAAGTGCACACCCCATGAATGTGCTTCTTAAGGCAATAGGATGTAAAACCCAGCGTTTATTTATGTTCTAGTGTTAATTTTGATTTGGAATCTTCTTCCTAAAGTCTGTTCCTTGCTTCGCGAGGCACCGCTTCGCTCGGAGCTGTCGTGTGCCAAACGAAACGTGTCGAACGCTATTCTAAACTACACACATTTACAACGATTTCTTTAACCAATATCGGTTTGAAGCTGTAGTGTAAATGTATATTTATAAAACAATCATATGCAGTAATGTGTAAAGAATAGCGTTCGTTGCGTAACAGCGAGCATCTATTGCAAGGGACGGCGGTCCTCTGCTTTACTCTTCGTACCGTGAGTCTTTTACTTCATGTTCTTGTTTTTATTTTCTTTTCCATGAATCCCAATTGCACCCGGAAGGTCATAGGTGGGGAGTTACAGGAGCGCTTGATCCCGGTGCCCTACAGCAAGACCTCAACCGATCAAGCTGTAAGATTACACAAAGCCTGCTCACTCACGTCTACCCTCTTTTTCACTTTATGTTGATCTTTGTTTTGTTTCTGTTCAACTCTATACTTACAAATTTTATACATTCTGTAACAGTCCTTCTGTGTACCCTGACCTTTCACTGGCAGAATAAAGGTGGACATACACGGACTAGTCTAATCACTAGTCGGTATTGATTGCTATAAACAGGAATGCAGTTTGTGAATTGCTTGCAGTTGATACCGTCTTTGTTTAGCAGTCCGTGTATCTCAGCTTTTATTGTTGATGGTGTTTGTTGTGTAAATGTTTTTGTGACAGTTGTTATTGGACGGTCAGTGGGCATTGCATGACACCTTTAAAGTATCCAAGCATGGGCTGTTAATTCATTATTTGTTGTTTTTTTTTTCAGTTGTTGAAGAACGTTTTTGCTGTATTTATAACTATTTTAATGCAAATTTTATAACATTTAAAATTAACGTTATTAATAAGACGTTGAATTTAAAATGCAAACGCAATACATTATCTAGTTAAAATAATATTGCATATTCCATAACACGTATCCATTCATTAAATTAAAATATTTGAAATGTAAAATACACATCGAAAATGCTTTTTTCTAAATAATCAATACGTATTTTAAACTTTGTAAAAATTGTAATAAAAACCAGTAGTTTTTGTTATTTAAAATATAAAAATAAACTTTCACGCACAGATTTCAGGCTTTTGCAATACAAAATATAAAATCTAAACACTGGTTAAATTAGCACGCTTTCCGAAATTTTAAATTCTAGTACAAGATAGGCTAATTTTTTAATTTGGCATCATTCATCTTAGCAATTAGTGTTTGTGTGTTATTTTGCCTCATTTCGTGCACAGTTTAAAAGATATCGACCATAGAACCAATACCAGGGTCTTAAAGTTCATGTCAAAGCATTACATCGGTACAGCTTTTAGTTTGGTAACGTCAGCTTATGACAGGTCGAGGTTAGGTTAGGAGCAGCTTGCTTCCGTGCAGTCGGTCGGATGTTGCTTCGTGTCGCAGCGCGCTTCAGTAGCCGCTAGAAGGTCCGAATGCAGTCACAGAGCACGATCTGGGACCGAGGAGCCCGGACCGACACCGACTAGTGTAGGCCTACACCGATACCGACGCACTAGCCCCGCCCACCGAGATGTCTGTATTCAGAACCGAAGCGAACGTATCGCGAAGTGCATGGCATGGCGCCCGCGCGGTCGACTGTGACTGGAATTTCGAATAACCTACGCTTTCTGGCCTCTTTTATTACTGGCTCGGTGTGCTTACATTTATGTTTACGATCGTACACAAGTCTTCCTCACGGGGCTGCTCCTCCGGGATTGTCCCATAGATGTTGTGCCATCGGCCCGATTCCAAGCTTCAAACAAAATAGGAACATTTATTTTTTGTATATTATAACGCATGTTGTTTGAATCTTGGATCGTTTGTGTACACCTCAGTTTTATGGAATTAATCGTTGTGATGGATTACAAGGAGCTGTCACCGGCCGCCGCCGCACTGGCTCCCTAGAAGTTGAATTCCTTAAGCGCATCGCCAATCAATGTTGCAATTTTTATATCTATAAATTTTACAAAGAAATATTTACTTGATGTTTGGAAAGAAAATCTGTTTTATATTGTCCTATTAGTTTAATGTCCCCACTTATAAAATGAACGTCATTTGCACTGAATATGGCAAGTTTGTTTCTAATGTACATATTATGTGAGCACGCGCAGGAATTCACTTGCCTGGAGACCACGGTAGTCACGTTACCGTTGGTCGCCGGTACACGGGGACGTAGCTAAATATATCTTAATGTTTTTAATGTAAGTACAATACCTGTTGTTTGAAATCTTAGAATAAAGTTTGAGGAGCAGTTAGCTATGTCCCCGATGGGAGCCAGAGAGCGGCGCCGTGCCCGGCGGCCGCAGCGCGGGCGGCACTAAAGCATGTGCTTGTGCGCAGATCCGCGTGGTGAACGCGTTCCGGCAGGGGCTGGACTCCCGCGGCTCGCTGGCCGACGCCGCGCTGGCTGAGGCGCTGCGCAAGCAGACCGCGCTCGCCAAGCGGTTCTCGCACGCCTCCAGCGTGGAGTGCGAGCCGCGCGACGCCCTCGCGCCGCACGACATCGACGTGGAGCGCCTCTCCAGCCACAGCCACACCGAGACCGCCGTGTAGCCGCCCCCCGCGCACCCCCCGCGCACCCCCGCGCAACACATCGCTGCCATCGCTCTAATGTAAACGTAACGCTATTGTGTATAAAGTCATATTTAAAAACGGAGATACCACGTTCGTATTTGGTTTAGAGGCGCCGGGCCGCCCCCGGCGCGTCGGAGCATAAGTTATTGTTAACTAGTGTGTTTATTGCGATTGTTTTGAAAATATTTTATTATAATACGCGCGTCGCCGCGCGTCTGTTGAACAAATAAAAATATTGTCTAATTATTAATTTTAGATGTAAGCGCAAGAACGAGCGATTGAGCGTGTGTTTTTTGAAAATAATTATAAAAAAAACATGGAATTATCGCATAGCATCGTGTCATCTCACACGGAATGAAATGTTTTGTATTGCTTTTGTGGGAAGCGAGGGCGGCGCGCGGGCGGGGGGTGACCGCGCTGTAGCCCCGCCCCCCGCCCCGCGCGCCGCCCTCTCTTCGGACTAAATTATTCAACTATTAGTTAAGGTGTTTGTTATAAATTTCAATAACTTTTTCTTTTTGTTTTTACGACCTTTTTCCCCTAATTCTAAGTACCTATACATTAAGTCATATCGCGAAGTAGCCGCATCGACCGGCAGGCGGCGCCGAGCCGAGCCCGCGCCCGCAGTAGTCCACTTTGAACATCTTCGAAATGTTTAAATAGAAATAAACATTAACTTGTATAGCTGAAGGTATTTATTTGTAATGCTAGTCTCTTATGAAACAAATACTAATTATTCAATTATTATAATGTACTTATTGATTATTGATAAATACTTCAAGTTTATTAAACAAATATAGTCTACGGAGTAACGAATTGATTTTGGAATTTTTTCTCTATGAGCAATAGCGCAGCGCGCGCGCGTCGCGGGCGTTTGCGTGACGTCACGTGCGGCCGCGGCGAGCGAGCGCGCCAGACATAGGCGACGTAGGATCGCAGCAGTGGCATTTTCAAATTATAAAGTAAGACATGTAAAGGACTTAGTGAGGAGTCGGAGGCGACCGCGCCCGAGAGCGGCACACCGCTCGCCGCCCACTTGTTTTTAGTAATAAATAATAATAACATAATAAAGTCAAACGATTTAGCGAATCGGCAATGTTCAATTTTGTATAGAACGTTTCATAGTAGAGGTATTGAGAATTGTTACGTTGTGTTTTGTGAGGCCGCCCTCCGCGGAGGGAGGCTGTACCAAACTATAAAACGATCTTGTAAGTAATTAAGTATTAGCTTGGAAATCAATAAAGCCTTTTTAAAAAAAAGTTAGTTAAAGATGAAAAGTATTCAAGTATCACATGTTTAATATTTGTTACGGTTTCAGTGATAGGGGTCATGTATCGTTTTGTATGTTGATATATTCGCTATATTTTGGTTTATTCGTTACCACGTGTTTCCCGATGAAAGACATAATGAATTAGGAGTGTAGAGGAGCAGAGCAGAACAGCGCAGAGCAGCTGCTGGCTGCAGTTGGCTGCGACAACCACTTGTTTTGACATGACAGTCTGCCACTAACCATTTTAGGTGATAAGTCCCATTGTTGTATTTTTCGTCTCACAATAAATGAAAATCTATTTTATTGTTTTTATGCCTGTTGTTTCATTTTTCAAAATAACCCCGAAAACTTCGTAAATTAGACAAGAATATGATTCTACCTCATTTTCGGGAAGAACTCGAACGAAAAGGTGCAAAAAATATATTGAGGAAGCTTAGTTGAAACTTGAAACATTTTTCACATGATCTCCCGCGCGCTTCCTCAAAACCACAAACTAATGCAATCAGTTATAGTTTGTCTAAATAAGATAGATTGGTTGGACAATTCATGTGACAATTTAGTAGGGATGTTGTGTAAAATAAAGCATGATAATTTCGATTAGAAGTTGGAAACGATAGTTTTATAAATTAAAACACTTTTTTCAAATTAATAATGACCTGCAGAACCATTCATATGCATCATTTATCAAATTATTTTATTTAGACAAAACTATAATAAATAGAATCAATTATTTCAAAATTAAGTTTTTCGATGAGATAGCTCAAAATGTACACAGAGATGTTTGTAAATCATTATCAAAAAAATAATTATATTGAATTAAATTGACTTATTTGGGTAGAACATAATTTTTGGTTGATTTCTTTCTGGTTATCTTACGAGGAAAAAACACATGCATAATTCCTTCTAATGTAAATTATAACGTCTATAAATTTCTTGAATTCGAAAAAGATATTTCAAATAGGGCAATAAAAAACAAGACTTTTATATTCAACTTTTTATTGTTTTCTTAAATGTAACATTTTATTTACAGTTATTCCTTAAGACGAAATAAAACAATTCTGTGACAGAATAAAAACAATTATGTTCCTTGAAATTTTTAACTTATTCTACGAAATAGGGTCCAACGTAAGTAATCGTATTTAGCAAACCCCTAATTTTTTTTAACTAACTTCCAAAAAAAAAACATGAGAACAATTTCTTTTTTTATATTATTTCAAAATAAAAGTTTCAAAAGTCTTCTTTAAGAAGATTAATCACGTATAAAACTGAAATGAGCACATAGTATCATTTACTACGAACTATAGTGACAAACATTGACACTGACATGAGTCCAAAACACTATGGTTTTCTTTATTTATGGTATTTCCGCTACAATTGACAAGGAGGGAGATGCAGCAGCAGCAGGAGCAGCAGGCGCTAGGGGAACCTGGCGGCGAGCGCGGGCGGCGGCTCCGACGGTATGAACAGAGGTAACGTCGTGCTCGTATCTAAAAATAAAAGTAACATTTTAATAATAAAAAGTACAATTTAAAGCAACGACACATGGAAGTTGACATCAAACAAAAACAGCTATAGACCGATAAGTTATCTAACCTCAAAGGGACCTTAGTTCGCGTGTGAAGAATGTTTGTTGAAGTGAGTTAGTTTTTGTGTGAAGTATGTTTGTTGAAGTGAGTTAGTTTTCGTATGAAGTATGTTGAACTGAACTAGTTTGCATATAAAGTATGTTTGTTGAAGTGAGTTTGTATATGAAGTATGTTTGTTGAAGTTAATTTGTTGGTGAAGTATGTTTGTTGAACTGAGTTAGTTTTTGTGTGAAGTATGTTTCTTGAAGTGAACTAGTTTGTATATGAAGTATGTTTGTTAAAGTGAACTAGTTTGTATATGAAGTATGTTTGTTGAACTGAGTTTGTGTGAAGTATGTTTGTTAAAGTGAACTAGTTTGTATATGAAGTATGTTTGTTGAACTGAGTTTGTGTGAAGTATGTTTGTTGAAGTGAACTAGTTTGTATATGAATTATGTTTGTTGAACTGAGTTTGTGTGAAGTATGTTTGTTGAACTGAGTTTGTGTGAAGTATGTTTGTTGAAGTGAGTTAGTTTGCGTGTAAAGTGGTCCTGACCGAGTTTGCGCAGTGCGGCGGGTAGTGCGAGGGGCTGGGGGCGCGGCGGGGGCCGCAGCAGGTGCAGGGGCGGGTGCGGGGCGCGCGGCGGCGGCGGCGAGCCGGGCGGGGGCGGCGGCGGCGGCAGCGCGTCCCACAGCGGCACGTGGTCGGGGTGCGCGGCGGGGCACGGCCACGCACACCCGCTGCGGCGCAACTTACGTCGCTGAACATAATTACATATAAATATTTACCAAATTTGTTGTGATCCCTTCAGCAATTTAGGCTATAAACTCTAACAAACATCCATCTAAACTTCCGCATTTATAATATTAGTATGATTCTATGAGCAGCGGTCGCTTCGTCATTTTGGCGCATTCAGGTGGCCGCTTGCTCGTTTGCCACCTTATAATATAAATTTTCTATTCGTGAAGTGTTCAAAACATAAATCATCCAAGATTGCGACAGCGGCCATTTTGTATTTTTAATTGTGTTTAGTCAAGCCCTTTAGTTTTATTACATTTACTTTTAAATTGTTTTTACATTAGGAAATCAGTTTTTTTTAATTAATTTGTCACGAGTTGTATGTAAATTAAGGTAATTAAGTAAATGTACTGATGTAATTACCTTCTTAACCGGCGGTTCCTCTACATCGGAGTCCTGTCCTGGCTTGTAGCCGTCGGCAAAGCTGACACGTTTGCCGCCGCGACTCGCCTCGCCGCTAGAACTAAACACATCATTTTTAAAAAAATAAAATCACCCACAAAATCGTTAAATAATCACTAAAGAAGATCCTTTGTAAATCCACACTCAAATACTTATTTAATATTCTTTGTTTTCCAGATTATCTTATATACTTTTACCAAGTTTTATCCAAATTTATGAAACCATTCTGATGTTAGGTTTTAAGAAAGATTTATCCATTTTTTTGCATTTACATTAGTAAGAACATTTAGTACTAGCTGCTGTCTGCGACTTCGTCCGCAAGAAAGTAAAAAAATATAGCCTATGTTACTCACAGATAAATTCCCTTTCTAACAGTAAAAGAATTTTTAAAATTGGCCGAGTAGTTTTTGAGTTATTTGAATACATACAAAAAATACAAACCTTTCCTCTTTATAATATTAGTATAGGCAGTTAATAAAAACGACATACTTACACGAGTATTCCTTTCTCGGGAGCATCCTTGTCTATTTCGGGAGAATCTTCTTTCGCCACCTCGCCAAGTACTGGAATATTAATATATTTATGAAATCGATACTAAAACCTGTTGCTCTTTCTACTGCAAAAGCCAGTATGAACAGATGCTATTAACTAGCTTTTCCCCAAGACCCCGTGTGCGTGGAATCAAAATTAACAATAAATAGCCTATTCTTTTATCCAGATTATTCTTTACATCTATACTAAATTTCACGATGTTTGGCCGTTTGGGCTACAAACTCTAACACAAATATAACTTTCGCAATTATAATATTAGTATGATTTTTTATTTATATTTACGTGTATAATTAAAATTTTAAGTCATTTATTGTAGAGTGTCGTTGGCTCAGTGGTTAACATGAATTACAATTGTTGGTCTTAGGTTCGCATCCCGGCATGTACATAAAAAAATAAAAATGTCCATGTGACATTTATATTCATACTAGCTTTTACTCGCGACTTTGTCTACATGGAATTAAAAATAGTAAAAAATAGCCTCAAAATTGTTTATTGAAATCAGCCCAGTAGTTTTTAAGTTATTTCAATACATACAAAAATACAAATCTTTCCTCTTTATAACATAGTATAGACGTACATTTATCTCACGTTCTTGTCTGTAAAGGTAGTTATTAAGTCTATGGCTTGTCACCCCCAACCAAGGGTAGGTTCCGAGCACCACAGTGGGGGATAGCTGATGATGATGATGGAGTTACCAGTATTCTTGAGCGCATGGTCTATCCTGGCATCGAGGGTGCTGAGGCGCGCCGCGGCATGCAGCGAGTCGTGCGCCTGCGCCTCGGAGAAGCAGTCCCCGTACTGCAGGCGGTCGGCCGCGCCGTACATGTCCATGTACGCCTCGTCGTAACTAACAAATACAGAAATCTATACTAATATAATAAAACTAACTTTACAATCAAAGAAAACTTTAGGATATCCTCTACTTCTATGATAAATTTCATTGAAATCCCTTTAGTAGTTTAGACTACAAACTCTAACAAACTAAACTTTCTCATTTATAATATAAGTAAATATTAGTATGATGTAGACACCCACTTTACAGCATATTTTTAAATACCTTAAGCTTACTGTCTAGTCTTCTAAAATATATAGCCTAGATAGATCAATAAATTAAAAAAAATGTTACATAGGAAAAAAACACAACTAGAAGCCAATAGCAGCAAAGAAGCAAGATTGGTAACATTGGCTTTACAATATTTTTTATTAAGATAAAGATAAAATGGATATAATTCAACCATAATAAGCAAATTTGTATATTTAATTTTTAAATTAATATGATTAAAAATATAATAACAGTATTCAATTTGATATTTAGACTTACCCATTAGTATTTCCAGTTGCCGTGTCTGTACGATTAGCAAGGCTCTGTATTTTATATACAGGTTGTGGCGATGGTAAGGGACTTGTTTTCAGTTGTGGCGTCTGTTGTTGTTGATCTTGTTGTTGTTCTTGTTGTTGTTGTTGTGATGTTGGTACTTCTGTCGTGTTCTCGCCCCCAGTTAGTACAATATTCACTTCTACTGGTTTTAAACCTGATATAAAATTAATGTTATATAGAATATCAAGTTTGTTGTAAACATTGTGAATAAGTGATGTTTTTTTTAAGTAGTCAAAACTCGAAAGTTAAAATTTAAGTACAATAAATTAAACAATATTTAAAATCTTCGAATAAATGTAAGTTTTACACATAAGAAGGCAATATTTTTATCGTAATTAAGAGTAAAATCGAGCCCTAAAAATGAGCAGAAACTACGATTGAGATAAGTTTATGTACAAAATCAGTTAGTAAAAACCTTATTTTAGTTGTATATAGTATTGTTTGTGTCTTACCCCATCTCGAAGGTCGCGGTGCGTGGGGTGTGTGGGGTGCGTGCGGCGCGTGGGGCGCGTGCGGGTGCAGGCCGGGCCGCCAGTCGCACTTGATCTCCCCGCGGCTGCGCGCGCGTACCACCGTCTCTATGCGCTGCTCACCCCCCGCGTGCGGCGGACACGCTTGCTAAAACCACAAATTATACTAATATTATAAATGCGAAAGCTTAGATGGATGGATGTTTGTTAGAATTTGTAGCCTAAACGGCTGAACGAATTTCGATGAAATTTGGTATAGATGCATAGTCTAGAAGAACACATAGACTACTCAATTTTCTTTTTTTGATTCCACGCAGACGGAGTCGCGAGTAAGAGCTAGTACATATAACTATACAAATAATAATGTTGGTATATATGTAATATCGAAACAAATATGATGTAACGTAACGATGTTATTAACGAAAATCGTGTTTAATTTTTTTGTTTGTCTGTCTGTGAGTGTATTCACAAGTCGCGTTTGTTCCGGGTAATCTCCGAAACGGCTGGTCTGATTTTGACGGTACTTTCACAGGAGGGTAGCTGACATAGACGGGTATATTATAGGCTATTTTTTTAATTCTGTCAAAATAGCATCAAATTGCTATCTCTGTAACGGGTGGACCTAATTTTAACGGGACATTGCCTGGTAGGTAGGTTCACGCAGAATTGTCATATTCGACCTTTTTTTTTTTTGTTCCACGGTAACAAAGTTTGCGAGAAACACTTTACACATCTATACAAACATTATAAAGAGGAAAGGTTTGCATTTTCATATGTATTGTAATAACTCAAAAAGAAGTGGACCGATTTTTAAAAAATCTGTCACATTTAGAAACCCACATTACCAATAACACGAGCTATAATTTTTTAATTTGATGCGGCCGAACTCGCGAGCAACAGCTAGTAAATAATAATGACCGTAGTGTTGAAACTTACTTGACTGGCGACGTCACTTTGGTAAGCCATAGCCAAATGTTCATACATTTCGTAATTATCTTGCTGGTATTCCTGATTCTCCTCGCATTCGACAACCGACTCTATTTGCTTGCAATAAAGTCCACTTTGGCTCGCATTAATCACATCATTGAAACTATAATTGGAATTCTGTGAAGACGGCCTTAAATGACTATCGTCTTTTTCATACATCTTCACGCTGCATACCGACTCTTGGGATGAGCAGAGAGACATCGATTCCTCCATTACAGGTTTTACTTGGGACCTTGGTACTGGAGATATTGTTGGTATCACTTCTATGTTTGACACTATTTGTATGGGTGGCATATTTTGTGGTATTGAATTTGGTGATGTTTGAGGTATGGTGATTGGTGAAGGAGTTTCTTCTACTTGTGGTTCCTAGAAAAGAAAAAAAAATAAGTTAGTAGTAAATTTAGGTACATTGTACAACAAATATTTCTTTTTTTAATCACCTTAATTTCAATTTCTTCTTTGTCCTCTTCAATAACTTCAGTAATTTTCGGAACATCTTCATTTTTGTCACTTGGTATTTTCTCTTGTTCTTTTTCTGTCAAATCCTTTTGATTTTCTGTTATTTTCGGTGACAGAGGATATTCTTCTGTAACCTCCTTCTTTATATGTATATTATTACCAACGAAATCATTCTGTAATTCTTTAACATTAATAATTTCCCTCGGTTTCTGTCTTCTTGGTGAGAATTTCATCAAAGATTTGGTCTTTTCGTCGTCAGTGAGACGTTCCGTTTTAATATTATTTAGTATATTGACGTCGAATAACTCTTCGCTTTGTGCTGAATCCGTTGATGTCTTTCTTTTACGTTTCTTTTCTTTCTTCTTACCTTCTGCCTTCTTCTTTGCTTTCTTCTCTGATTCATCTGTACTACTCTCAGTTGTAGATGATGAACTACTTGTAGATTCTTCTTTCTTTTTACGCTTTAAGATCTTCTTTTGTTTTGATTGTTTCTTCTTTTTATTTTTCTTAATAGTTTTTCTATCTGTTGTTTCTGTATTTGGTAGTTTTGGTTATGAAAATGATTTAATAACATTTTACTAATATTATAAATGCGAAGGTATTGACATGAGGACATTTGTTAAGAGTTTGTATCCTAAACGGCTGAAAGGATTTTGATCAAAATTATGCATAGATGTAGGGGATAGTCTGAAAGAACACATAGGCTACTAACTTTGTTTTTTTTTTTATTTCAACGCGGATGGAGTCGCGGGCGAAAGCTAGTATTGTTAATAAATATATAACTAGTTTTTTAAACGTATTTAACATTTGCTAAAATCGATGAATAATTTTATTGCTTAGATATATTCCATGAAATTGAGTGAATCTTGTTTATATAAGCATAAAGTACAAATTTCAAATATAACCTAATTAAATTTATCTTACCGCTATCATCTTCGGAATCATCAATTGTCTCAATTTTACTTTGCTTTCTCTTTTTCTTCTCTTTTTCTTTCAATTTCTTTAAAATCTGTTTACCAATACGACGTTTTTTTGCTGATTTTGATTTTGTTTTCTTCAGAGCCTGCAAATATTATTCAAAATTTGGTTAACATTTTACAAAATGTGTGTAATTTTTAGTGTAATTATGTACAGAGTATACTAACTTTCTTTTTTAACATCTTCTTTGTTTTTTTCGCATCCGGTTCACTCTCTGATGAAAGACTGGACAAAGACCGTTTACGTTTACGTAGTTTTTCTTTGTCGATTTTCATTTTCTTACTGAAAAAAACAAACCAAGGTTTAAATAAACATGATATCTCCAACAGAATTATCAAAATTCTTGCACAAATCAAACAAAATTATGTCTTTTATTCTCCTTTAAAAGATTGAGATAACAATGTATTTTAAATTGACATCTTTGCGGTACTTTTAATGTGAATTTCGAAATTAGCATATTTTGCAAAAAATCTTACCAACCATTTATTCACCAAAATATTCCGTAAGCTTTCCACAAAATGTATATCCATACTCATCAGACGAGTTTAAACTATAAACTAAAGATTTTTTAAACCATAAACATTTTTTGTACACTTTGTTTTAAACCGGTTTCATTTCACGCGTTATATCTAGATATTAATAAACTACCCTCATTTATTTTAACAATTGTTCTGACATCACTAATAAAAATATTGAACATAAAACAAACCTACCTACTTTACAAACTAGCTGTTTCACGGCTTCGTCCACGCAAAATCAAAAATTGTAAAAAATGTAGTCTATGTCACTTAGCGATAGCGTGACTCTTTTGTAGTGAGATTATTTTTTAATCGGTCCAGTAATTTTAGAGTTATTTGCATACAAAAATACAAATCATTCCTCTTTATAATATTACTATAGATGTACATAGACTTAATGTAAATATGTTGTATTCCTGGATCACACTTGTCCAGTACAGTTGGACAGTACTCAATAACTGGATTGAAATTCAATTGGCGTAGTGTGAACACTTACTGACGACAGTAAGATTATACGATTTATGCCTGGCCTCCGCTACTGTCCAACTGTACTGGCTACGTGTGAACGAAGCGTTATTTCAACCTTTTCTATATGGATTTATAGCAAACATGTTAAATATTTTAAATTAATAAACAAAAATAAACTTTTGTTGTACTATAACTGAAAATCCTATGAAAAACTTGCTAGCTTAAAAACGAAAAAAAAAAGATTCTACCTTTTTTCAATTTCTTCCTCTATATCCAACTCCTGGCTCCATCCTTCACTGCTTAATTGTTTCATCTTTTTAACCGAACTTCCCTCTTCTTTCTTCTTTTTAGCTTCAATCTCCTTCTCGACTTCTACATCCTTCTTCTTCTTTCTAATATCTTCTTTCACAGGTGTTGTGCTGCGCGGGGTTTCGTTCCTATTTTCCACTTCTGGCCATACGGCTTTCATGAACCTATTACATTTGACAAAACTGACATGGGAAAGAAAAAATCATTTATCATTTCCGGGAAGAAAACCTATAACTTGAGCACATATTGCTTCATTTAAACATTAAATTGAGTACTTTATATATTCTCTGATACGAGGTTATTTTTTTTCAATATTTTCTAGTCTATAAATATAATAATAAATTTTAATACATAAATATTAAATTACACGGCATCGTAATTCAAAAAATTTTGACAACTTCACAACAATCAACAATGTCATATTGACAACCAAGTTTTGCTTTTTAAAGAATTTGTCATTGCCATTAAAAAAATTAAAAGCTCTCTTATAGTTATTTTCAATAAGAGGTTGTGTCCAGGACCTAACACGAAAATTTTTGAGAGAGCATTCAATTATCGATTGTATTAGATTTATCAGACTTTACGCCTTATAGGGACGCTGTATAGAGGGGTTTATCGTGAAAATTCCTGAGAACGTTTGTAACGTAATTATCAAATAAGTACAGAACGCCTACCGTGCGTAAAAAACACCGACAAAACTGTCATGAAAATATTCGTAATAGACACTCAGGAGTTGCAGATTAATAAAAAAACGTTTATTTATTTATAAAAATCGATTCCAGTAGTAAAAAAACGTTATTAAGAAAAAGTTTTAACATATTATTAAATGTAAATTTACGATTTGTGGTAATCATAACATCCTTGGTCCGCGTTTTCACTTAGTTCAATTTAGGTGGAATCATGTTCTAGCGCTGGTGGCGTGAAATTTAAAAATAATAATAAGGAAATAAAAAAATATAGCCTATGTTACTCACAGATAAATTACCTTTCTACCGGTAAAAGAATTTTTAAAATCGGTTCAGTAGTTTTTGTCATTACAATCAAACAAAGTTTTCCTCTTTATAATATTAGTTTATTTATAAAAAGAATTAGCTCAAAATGTATATTTTTTGGGAAATAGCGTTTGTAGTTTGGCATTTACACACAAGATTTGAGATGAGAAAGAAAGACGTTGTCCTATCTTTTTTATTTTCATTCTATTGTGACGCGAGTGAGTGGTATTCGCGCGAAAATAAACTGTCTATGATTAAAACAAAAATAAAATTGGGTTAATTACCATGAATAAAGGTATAAAATGTTCATTTACCTTTGATATTCCCTATCCAGTAGGACCTCTTCGGTCCGCAGAGGGGTGTTGGAGCGACACGCAGTCTGACTGAGGTCGTCTCCCTCCCACTCGCTGGAGAGCGGCACGGTGTGCGTCTCCGTCAGACAGAGATGGGGGCGCGGGTACCAGTTGCGGCACTTTGATGCGGCCGCGTCGGGGATTCTACATATGTATGTGTATTATAATCTAAGAGTGATAAACATTTTAAAAATTACGAGCATTTTCAGTGATTTACTTTAGATTTATTTTTAATTAACACTCGCTTTCGCCCACGACTCCGTCCGCGTGGAAATAAAGAAACAAAAGTTATTAGCCTATGTATATCCTGTACATACATAAATTTAAGAGATGTTATCAGCAAATTAGGCTGCAAACTTTAAAAAGATTAAAAAATACAATATATGTAGTGGTATTTACTTACTGGTCACACCCGTACACCCTATCAACAAGGTTCATTTTACACATGTTCAATTCTTCATAAACCACATCGCGATCTTTTACACAATTACACAACTTGGGGTTCTCGGTGTACCACAATTTAGGCTCCGTGCGAGTTTCTCTACAAAAAAATAAAGAAAACCAAGTAAAAAGAGTGGGTAATTAAAAAGATAAAAAAACCACAGAAATGTAATCTGTGTATTCACCTGTAACATTTATTCTTGTCGTGTCTAAATAAAATAGGTTGACAAATCTTTAACACAAAACTCCAAGTCTCCAAGGAATCAACTGTCGCTTTGGACATTTTCGCTTCCATAGATTCTTCCAAATCCTTCTCTACAGACAGACGGAAACTATCCATAGATTTGTATCCACTTTCTGTCGTATCGCTAGTTTTGTATCCACTTTCACTAGAACGATATCCATCCGAGTAATCGCTTCTTTGACTCTGTTGGTATTTCATTTTTTCATCTAATTCTGGAGTCACTGATAGTCTAGAATCAGATTCCCTCGCTTCTGCTTTAATCGGAGAATCGTATTCAACCAATCCTTTATCCTGACTCATATCGTCACTCATATCCTCCTGCTTTATCTCGTTTATGACAGATTCCAAGAATGTATCGTCATTCCCATCTTCCATTGCATCTTTAGATATATCTTGATCGTAATCTTCGTCCTTCAAATCAGTCGGAGAATATATAGAAAGATCTTTAGTTTTAGCTCCATACTTTTCTTTCCCTGATTCAACATCAAACATATCCAACATTTCATCGTCATTTGGATCTATTTCAAATTTAAACGAATCAATAACTGGTTGCAATTTCTCTATTTTTATAGGACGTATTGGACTGTCTCTTGTAAATTCTTTCAGCTTGTCTTGTTTCTTCAGTACGCTGTCTCGTACTTGTTCAGTAATAGCTTTTGCGTACTTAGTATCTGTTTCATGTTTAACTATTTTTTTTACAGGCTTTTCTTCAACTCTGGGACTTGAAGCTTTTTCTTCATTATCTAAAGACCAACTATCGCAAATTAGATAATCATTTAAGTTAACGTTTGCCTCCTTATCTTCTTTTTTAGCATCATCCGAGTCACAATTTCTGTCTTTACTTTTCTCTCTCCCTTTCTCCTTATCTTTGTGTTTATATCTATCTCTCTCTTCGCGTTTGTAATCTGAATGACGTCGCTCATATCTATCGCTTTTATATTTCTCTCTTTCAAAATCTTTGTCACGATATTCCACAGTTTTAGTCTTATCTTCTTCTTTCTTACGTTGAAAAGGATTATCGTATTCCGGTAACAACTTTTGATAGTCAAATTTGTATTTTTTACCTTCATCTCTTGCTTTCTTCGCCTCTTTAATGATTTCATCTACTTTTGCTGGATCTAGAAATAAAAGAATATTTTATTATACATGTTTTATGCAATGACATAAATTATTCTACTTACAATAATCTACAACTACTTAATACTATACTAATGTAACATTCCGAAAAACATACTAAGACAACAAAATGACGAAAACGACAACATATATTGCAGGGGTGACGAACCAATGGCACATGACACAATATTTTATGCACGTTACAGATCTCAAAACTACACAAAAGTATGAATTTCTCATTATAACAGCAATTGCAAGTAATCACTGTAAATATATTCTCACAATAATTATAAAATCCGAATTTATTGATGAAAATAAGAATAATCTCATAGAGATTATTGATTTATAAAAATGGCACAAAAAGGTTTGCCACCCCTGACATAATTTTCATTCCAATATAAAAACTATACACATAGAAATTACACAATTTACTACTAATACTAAATACTATAATACCATCTCCTGTAAATATGAAATAACTTAAATATTAAGTCCAACTTACTGGTTTTCTTTTTGTTTCTTTGCACTTTACCTTTGTAGTCCTTCGGATTGCACAATCGAAAACGGCTACCTACATGCACGCAACACAAATATAACAAGCACAAAAAACACACTAGGTGCATATAAAATAAGTAAAATAACATTGTTAAAAAAATAATGGGGCTAGTTAGAGATATCTCAAATATACCAATAATGTTAATTATAAGGACATAATCTTATTAGTTACATTTCATTTTAATAAGCTATTGGAGAGGGGGCAGGAGGGTGCAGGAGCCCACTCCTCTGAAGATTCAAAGTCAAAATCCTAGAGAGGCACATAGTTAAACCAAAAAGGTATATAATTATTCAGTTTCTCATTGAAATTGTACATGTTGATAAACATTATTTTTAATATGAATGAATTTTACACCTAGAATATCAGCTGGTATAAATGAGGCTATCTCCCAGCTGTACAATTATGTCAGCTTGTTTCCTAATCACTAAGAGCACTAGGGGATTGGCATGTCTTTTTAAAGATAAATCCCCCTCCTCCTTATAAAGATTTAAAAAAATTAAACTATGTGCTACATTAATATTAAAAATATACTATTTTACTGACTTATAAGCATAATATAAATAAAATTAATAATTTTAGTGTTAAAATAGAATCAGTAAAAGTTAAAACAGTAAAAAAATAAGGTGCTTAAGCTAAGTGAGATTTACTTCCATTTCCTATGTGCAATTTTTTTATTCAAAAGGTGGGAAACAAGCTAGAGGCTTTTGTAATAAATGAAAATAGCAAATTGACCCTGCTAACATATTCATAGTTGCAGATGTTCTACCCTTAATTGACAAAGGATGAATATAAAAGGATATCAGTTATATTCACTTACCAAGAAAATGTTTGATAGGTGGCATTGCTTTAGTTGGCATCGCTTTCTCACTGGTTGAAGTTGGACAGATCAAACCTAATGGTATACCCAATTCCACTAATTCCATCTTACGTTTCATATCTTCTATTTCTGATAGTGTCTTCTTCTGAAGATCAATATATGAATCTGTAATAATAAAATTGTTAATAACATTTTATCTATATCTATATAATAAAGCGTAAACACACACTTCTTTGTTGCCTAAGATGTCAGCAATTACAGCTTATTTTTAAATAATTCTTCTTGTTACAAAAAACCCTACACTTACGCTTTAGGCTGTATATTTTACGGCATTTAACTTAGGAGGTAAATATTTTGGGTAAAAACCTTAATGTGGAAAAGAGACCATAAGTTGCTGCCAACATCAAGGAAGCAAAATTGCCATAGTAGGGTAATTGGTATTTGATAAATGTCAACAATAAAGGTTTATATTTTTCCATGCACGAGCTGCATGGGAACGGCTAGTATTTGATAATTAAACAAATTTTTAGATTTAACATCTTTGTATACTTTAGAAAGGGGATTAACAGTAAGCCTTATGCTTAACAGTATCTTATGACTGAAAACTGAAATAAACCTTAAATACTTTAATTTGTGACCGCTGCTTACAATTAAACAGATGTCATTAAATTGCCTTTTTTAAATTCCAGATCCTGTTATAAATTTAATGTTTATGTGTCATTTCAGTATCTAACTGGGATCCACTTATTTTAAGATAAAACTGGGATTAAATTAATTAAATTAGATGATATTATACCTGTTAAAGGTCTTTTATAAGATCCTGGTTTTGGTGGTCTTGGTTGTTTCTTTTGATCATCATCAACCTTCGGTGTTGAAGGTTTAATTCCACATAATTTTCCAATTAACACTGTTGCATCTAAAAAAAAAGAAAATAATAACAAATTTGGAATTAGGAACAGAAATAAGTACTTTTTGTTTATCTCTATCTCACTAATGTTATAAAATATTTGAAAAGAACCATATTTATTAATTACAACTAAATAAGTAAATACTTACGACCAGTGCTTGTAGGCTTTGGTACAACTATGGGTGTTATTGGAGTCTTCTTTTGAATAGAAAAGGCCCTGAGTCTTTTCTTTGCATTTTCAACACCTTTAGATAATTTTGGCTTGACCTCAGATGTTGCGGGTTTCGTCGCCTAAACATAAATATGGACGATTATCAAATGAAATTAAAGAAATAGTATGTGATTGCTTACCTAAAATATGCCAGCTAGCCGAAAATTATTAACCTTGCACAATCTATAAGCTCTATTTGAAGTTAATGTTGGTAATCAACTGATTTTAGTACAACGTTAGTGGCCAACGAAACCGCAATATATCACAATGAGGTAAAGGTTCATAATCAATTCATACCATTTAACCAACATTAAACTCAGCTTTATTTTTGACAGTAATTGTCCAATCAATTCCTTACCGCAGGCGCATTACTAGATGCATCAGTCGGTCGGTTACAAGGTCCTGGCTGCTCCGCGGTATCCATGCTGCGTTAGTTGTTAGCAACGAGTACGGTAATAATTGTATTTCTTAAACCTGATGATTATAATTTCATTGTTAGTTTTTGAATTTGAAAACACATGATTGTGTTGCAAATTTGAACATTTGTTGTATTTCTGTACTTATTTTAGGTGTCAATTTTAATATCAGAGAACAAACAAATTAAACAAACTCTTCAATCTAAATTGTCATTTGTCAATTCAATTGTCAAGTAAAAAGCTGTCTTGTTTTCGTCTTTCGCTGTCAAAGAGTAAATGTCAATGAGTAAGAGTATGACGACATATTAGTATTTAGTTAATTTGAAGTTTTTTTTTATTAAATTGATCCCAACAATTACAACTAAAATTTCTCCATTTTTTCTTTTATTGTATACTATAAAAGAAATATATACTAACATTAAACGAGCTTTTTATATATTGGCAATAATCCCTCAAAGCAAGTTTTGATCGTTTTGACATTGACATTCACAGTTTGCTTTGTTTTGCGATCATGCCATGTATTAAGCTTTTTTTAAAAAAGTAGTTAATAAAACCGTAAAGCTTGTTTCTATAATCTAATTCCATTTGAACTTACGCATTATCAATCAAGTTTTATATTTATCAGTTGTCAGTCTTAATTTGAACAGTAACCCATCGTTTTGTTGTATTTACACTGTTTACATTATTATATTTATAAGTTTATAAAAATGGTAAACTACTGCTGCGTACAAGGATGCGGTCGCAATAGCAGATTAAATAAACATTTAAATTTTTACAACTTGCCGAAAGAAAGGCATCGGTAAGTAGTAACCAACAAATAGAACACAGAATTATAGTAGCTATAAATACCAGTGTAAATAACAATATACGAAACATTTATTATCATATAACTTTCTATTCATCATCATCACCAGTTCACTATGCACCTATTGAGAGGCTTGGAGCCTTCCCTAAGGGGCAACTAGGCCATAGTCAACCATGCTGGCCCAGTGTAGATTGGTTGACTTCACACATATCTTTGAATTTCTTTGCCCAGTGTAGGTTTCATTACAATATTTTGCTTCACTAAAAATGTTGGATAAATTATGTACAGATGAAATTCAAAACTTGAAAAACTCATGGGACATGGTGGGAATCAAACCTAAGACTGTAGATAACCAATCAAGTGCTTAAACTACTGACCACATCTCATTTATTAAATAATTATTGTTTAACAAGTAAATTATTTTTTTGCAGGCAGATAGAATGGCTAAAAGCTGCTCAACGGGAGGACTTAATAAAGAAAAATGAAGATCGAATTGTCTCGCCTCGTTTCTGTTCCCGCCATTTTCCTCCATCTAGTATTAAAAATAGAAATCTGAGTCCTGATGCAGTACCTACTCTATGTCTCCCTGGTAGTTGGGATGATGGTATGAAACATTTTATTTAATAAACCATTTAAATTTTTCATTACTTGTAAATAAAAAAAAGATATGACACTTTGAACATTATCTCTTTTTCTTCATAGAGAAAGAGATGGTAATATTATTGTAATATAAATCTAATAAGGGAGATTCGCCATAAGATGCCTATCTGTAATGTATTTGAAAAAGCTACTTGTCATTTAGTTCAATTTAATGAATATTACTGCTAGTACCTGTTGCCTTTGACTCAGTCCATGTGGAAATAAAAAAAAAACTTCATTTGTAAGCAGTGTTCTTCCACACTTTGTTCTACATCTATGCCTTTTAGCAAAATCTGTTAAGCCACTCTGGAGATGTAACAAACATATGTCTATGTCTAATATTTTATATTTTTGGACTATTTAAGATAGATTGATAGTTGTATATTTTTATTGTTTTAGATGACACAGAAAGCAGTCCACCAGTGCACATTGACATAATCTGTGATAATTGTAGTAAACCTATAACAGGTTTCCGTTACAAATGTGTCAATTGTGATGACTATGATCTGTGCCAGAAATGTGAGATGATGGAAGCACATTCACATCATTTCATGCTGCGGATGCCCAAGCCTTTGAAATATGTAAGTAATTTTACCTTTAATCAAACAAGTTTATTTTTAGATGTAAACTGTTGATGGTTTTTAGGTAAGGTTTTATGAATTGCGAAAAAAAATTTTGTGAAGAAGGGACTTTTTTGCTGATGTTGGTACTGTACAGTTACCAATAAAGAAATGACAAAGGATTTTTTTAGTAACATTAAGTAGAAATGATAGATAAAGAGATTTCATTATCATTTATTTTTGTTAGCCCCCTGTGGGATATAGGCCTTCCTCAATGTTTTCCACAAATGCGGTCCTCTGTCTGAAGCGTAAACTTCCAGCTTATGTTAGCGCCCTAATACTTATTTTTTGTCTATTCATCGGAGAGTGCTTTTATCCTATGATGAAGCATGGGTTTTTATATTTCTGGTCAAGTCACACTTATTTTTCTTAAAGATATTTTTTTGACTTACAGAAACTAGCAGATAATCTAATAAAGAAATGGAGGCGTCTTTTCAAGAAAGCGCATGTAACACCGAATTGTGAGGATAATTTAGATATTTCAAGTGATGATGAACCGATAAGAAAATATGCAAACTACGACAGCGGTATCGAGTTATCCGAAGATGTGAAATTAAAAATAAGGAAAGAAATACATCGAACATTGAAACTTCATCCTGAGGATGTTCAAAATAAAATATCAAAGAAAAGAAGTAATACTGAAGTTGAAGGTTTTAATAAACGAATGGCAATAGAAAATTTAGAAGATGATGGGGAATATTTAATAGTAAGCAATAATGCACCTGATGTTGTGTTTGCGGACGTCAATGAAATAAAAGATGAAGAAATTGTGGTTACCAATAATGAACTCTCGGAATCATTTGCTTCTATGTTACCAAGTATGAATTTAATATAATAATAATTGTGAATAAGTGAATAAAATGTAATAAGTTATTACTTATAGGCTTATTAAGATTTTATATAGCCTGATCAGGAACATATAAAATCCTTGCCTCGTTGCAGAAAATCATGGAAGTAATTTCTTTGAATACATTATAAAATAATGTATTAAGATATTTGAATGCCAGGATTTTTATATTCTTGATTAGGTTTTAATAGACTTAAATATATGACTTCAAACTCTCCTTTATAAAGAACTTGTAAAAGATCTTTTAGATCTGAAACTAATGAAATGTTAATAAAATATTATAACTTTTTTCAGATAATGATTCCCCCGTTGTGCTGGTTCAGATAGGTGATGATATATCTCAGTTGATGATTTTAAATTAATTCGACTTTAAGAAACTATTACATTATTGAGAAAATAATTACTACTAAATATATGTAATTTAAAACATAATAAATTGTAATAAAATTCATCTTTAACTTTGACAATATTCTTAAACATAACTATTAGCTGTGTTTTAAGTTTTAAATATTATGGAATTTTGGAATTATGTTTTGAAAATAAAAATGTTTTAAACTAAATAAGTACTCTTTTTGTTTTACGCATTACTACCAATTTCTACTGAAACCATAAATTATTTTATACTTGAAACATTTGACGTTTAACAAACACCGGTATAATCTGTGGCACAGTTCAAAGTGTAATCAGATATCAGCTGTGCCGTGTTTATCAAAATAATTAATATATTTAAAATATTTAAAGCAGAGATATATAACACAGTTTATTTAATTTTATACTTCACGACAGATATTTATGAAAAAATTACATTTTTTTTCTTAATTAATTTTTTCACGTCACTTTACAAGTGTCAATGTATATGTTTTTCTTCTTTTTTCATAAAAGAGTTTTC